CATCCCCCCCCCCCTTTTTTTTTTTTTGCTTGCAGAAATATTTTACTAGATCAGCAATTATTCCCTGTGCTCCACAGAATGAATCCATTCACCGCACATCCAATCATAAGGAAAGAAGATCCTGGCAGGCCTCTGATGACAAGCAGATATCTCACTAATGAAGAAAATGGTAATGTCTAAAATCGGCCACTACTTTGTTACCCAACTTTGCCGATCGATGAATGCATACCATGCATACGCACTATAGGGACTGTTCCTTTTTGGAGACAAAGACACAATTGCTGATCTGTTGCATCATTATCGCTCGAGTACCCACAGACATAAGACATTGGTTGGAGCAAAAAGTACTTCTATAAAACGGTCATGGAATAAACACGCGTGGTCGCACGAGGCAAGCGCGCATGTTCATGCCATGGATTCATAGGGACATGCCCAAGGTTGAGTGTTAGGGTTTGTTCAATCCACAATGCACAGAAAAGACATGCTTTATGTTGAACTGCATATTTAAATGGGTTTTTTTTCCTGTACAAGCCACAGCATGGGTCAAAATTCGAACTTTTCTTTTTGGCATTGGATAGCGCATTGCGTTGACGTGCATTCACTTGCATTGTGTAAAAATGTACACATGCAGCATTTTAATGCAATGCAACTGCATGGTGCGAATGCATTGTGTGCTATGTGCCCTTGCATTGAGCTTGTGTTGATCAGTGGACATGGTGTGAATGAGCCCTTACTGGCCACATCTGGTGGCCATCATCTTATGTTTATAGCTACCAGCCCCCCACTGCCTGGATGCCCATCGATAGCACTGCTGGTGTGCTGGGCAATGATGTGATCCCCCTCCATTGCCTGGATGCCCATTGATGGCACTGCTGGTTCTTATGTCTATGGCCATCAACCCCGCCACTGCCTGGATGCTGGGCAATGATGTGATCCCCCTCCATTGCCTGGATGCCCATTGATGGCACTGCTGGTTCTTATGTCTATGGCCATCAACCCCGCCACTGCCTGGATGCTGGGCAATGATGTGATCCCCCTCCATTGCCTGGATGCCCATTGATTGCACTGCTGGCTCTTATGTCTATGGCTACCAACCTCCCCTACTGCCTGGCTGCCCATCAATGGCAATGCTGGTTCTTATGTCTATGGCTATCAACCCCTCCATTGCCTGGATACCCATCGATGGCACTGCTGGTGTGCTGGGCAATGATGCGATCCCCCTCCATTGTCTCCTCTTACCTGCGGCTCCAGCAGCCAGTCCCCCTCCATACTGGACGCCCCCTCCCGGTACAGGAATGCGGAGTAGAGCGGGATCTTGTGCTCGGTGCTGTACAGGGTGGCGAACTGCTTGTCCCCCTGGTACCGCTGGCAGATCCTGGCATGTGTCGGGTCACTGAAGCCATGCGGAGGGTTACCCTGGAGGAAGAAGTCATTGCACTCAGCGAAGCCATCCTCAGCCTCCTGCACCAGACGGCCGTGCAACAGACAAGGCAGAGCCGCCAGGACCAGCACCACCAGCGCCGTCATCTTCCCGAGTCCTGGCCGACCGACCGCACACACCGGCCGAGGAGGAATGTGGGAGGATCGGAGGAAGAACGAGCCGCTCCCCTCCCAGACACACAACGAGGAATGAGAGAGAGCCGCCCGACTGCTGCAGTGTCACTGACTGCGGGGGCGCAATGGGTGCTGGGAGATTCCTGACTGGATGCAGCCAGTCCCTAGACCAGGCGGTCCTACTGCTTGTGTCAGAGACCTGTCATCTCCAGAGAGGGACATGTACCAGGGACCTGTTATCACCAGAGAGGGACCTGTCATCAAGAGAGAGAGGGACCTGTACCAGGGACTTGTCATCACCACAGAGGGACCTGTACCAGGGACCTGTCATCACCAGAGAGGGACCGGTACCAGGCACCTGTCATCGCCAGAGAGGGACCTGTACCAGGGTCCTGTCATCTCCAGAGAGGGACATGTACCAGGGACCTGTTATCACCAGAGAGGGACCTGTCATCAAGAGAGAGAGGGACCTGTACCAGGGACTTGTCATCACCACAGAGGGACCTGTACCAGGGACCTGTCATCACCAGAGAGGGACCTGTACCAGGGACCTGTCATCACCAGAGAGGGACCTGTACCAGGGACCTGTCATCAACAGAGAGGAACCTGTACCAGGCACCTGTCATCTCCAGAGAGGGACCTGTACTAGGGACTTATCATCAGAGAGGGACCTGTACCAGGCACCTGTCATCCCCCAGAGAGGGACCTGTCATCACCAGATAGGAATCTGTACCAGGGACCTGTCATCCCCAGACCCTCTGCCCGGGGCTGTGTCCTCCCTAGAAAGGCCTGTAACAGGGACTTGTCATCACCACAGAGGGACCTGTACCAGGGTACTGTCATAACCAGAAAGAGATCTGTACCAGGGACCTGTCATCACCAGTGAGGGACCTGTACAATGGACCTGTCATCACCAGTGAGGGACCTGTACAATGGACCTGTCATCACCAGAGAGGGACCTGTACCAGGGACTTGTCATCACCAGTGAGGGACCTGTACAATGGACCTCTCATCACCAGAGAGGGACCTGTACCAGGGTCCTGTCATCACCAGAGAGGGATCTGTACCAGGGACCTGTCATCACCAGAGAGGGACCTGTCATCACCAGAGAGGGACCTGTACCAGGGGACTGCACCCTTCCCTGGACTTTGGCCTTTCATAGAGCCCTCTAGCAGGGGACGATGTCCTTCCAAGGAATCCCTATACCTGTGAATTGTGTCCTTCCTGAAGACCCCATACACACGGGCATCTGGGGATTTGTGCGGTAAGAACCTGCGGATTCTTGTGGCAGGAATACCTGGTATGTCCGTAAAGATGCAGCTACTGTGCCCATTCAAGTATATGATAGGGTGACAGCAGCCCCATCTGGCTGTGGCTGTCTACATGCAGTCTTACATGGAACAATTACCTGCAGATCGGAAGAGATGTCCTGGGACACACACTGAGGGGTTGCATCCTGGGACAAGCATCTCTCCCGATCTGCAGGTAATCCTTCCATGTAGGATTACATGTAGACAGCCATGGACAGATGCGGCCGCTGTCACCCTGTAATTAACATGAACTGCTGAACGACATGTATGGACACAACTGGGATTCCTGCCAGAAGAATCCCCTAATGTCAATGGGCCCTAGGATGACTACAACGCCCTGTGCCAGTACTAGAGGTAACAGTACCAAGGGACCTGTCCTGTCCATTGAAAATCTTCTCTTCTCTTCAGGTGTCCTGTCTTCTCACTCTACCATAGGACCTGTGCTCTACGGTATCCTTCACTAGACAACCTGCTTTCAAGTTCTCCTGAAACTGCTTTGTGCTGAAGGTCTTCTGTCTTCTTAAAAATCTGCATCACCATGAGACTTGTTAGATATACACTGAGTGGCCAGATTATTATGACCACCTGACATTTGTAGGCAAATTAGCTATAATTTGGCGCTGAAGTTGCTAGAGGGCCAGACCATTATAAATAGGGAATCGGGTTGGTTACCACGACAGTAGAAGTGATTTTTTTCTGAAGATATGGGTAAACAACACGATTTAACAGCTTTTGAACGTGGGATGATTGTTGGCGCTCGGAGCCATGGAGCGAGTATCAGCAAAACAGCAGAATTCGTTCAATGTTCAAGAGCAGCTGTTAAAGTGTTTAAAGACTGGACTGTCAGCCGAAAATCTGGGTCTGAACGTGCGAATTGTGGCCGTCAGCGTCTAGTCAATGTTAGGGCAGAACGGAGAGTGTCAAGACTGGTACAAGACAACAGAAGGGCAACAGTGCCGCGTCAGATTCCTCGCATCACCTTTCAACATTTCGTGGAGTCATCTCGTGGCCCAGCGAAGTACTGATGGGGTGGTCATAATAATCTGGCCACTCAGTGTATATCCCGTACCAGAGGATTTGCTTCTCCTGAATGGCCTGTAAAGGAAGTCCAGTCTCTGCAAGAGTACATTGCACCAGCAGACCTCTCCTGAATTCCCTATGGAGAAATCCTTTCTTGTGTCGTGCCTGAGACCTGCCTTCTCCAGGCTGCCTAATGCCATGTCTCCTGTCTTCTCTAGAATATACTATACTAAGGTTCTTCTCATCTCCAGGCCATCATAGTTCTCAGCACTAGGGAACTGTCTTGTGAAGGCCGCCCCTGCCAGGAGACCTTAGTAATTCCAAAAGATGTCACCAGCACTCCAGAAGTAGATTCAATATATTTTAATGACAACGGTCATTCAAAATCACAAGTACTTTCGGGGCCACGTTGGGTCCAACGTGGCCCCGAAAGTACTTGTGATTTTGAATGACCGTTGTCATTAAAATATATTGAATCTACTTCTGGAGTGCTGGTGACATCTTTTGGAATTACTACTTGACTACACGGTGCCTCCGTGGTCACTACAAGCACCCTATTACAGACATCATCTCCTAGGAGATCCGGTAAGGAGTGCAGGAAGATACACACAATTTTGCCAGGAGACCTTTTCTCCAGAGTCTGCTCTATGCCAGGGTGATGACCTTTTGTCACGGGATCCATTCATCAGTCCTGTGCCAGGTTCCAGGTTTTCTCCAGACTATCCTGTACCAGGGAATCATCTTGTTTATTCTATTCTGTTCCAGGAGGATCTGCATTCTACATTGGCCTATGCCATTGCACATGTTCTGAGGGAACCCTCTGTAGCAGGAATCCTGTTCTCAACCTGTGTAACCTCAGGACCCACATTTGTCCTTGGTTATTAAGACGTGACACAAGTTGCACTGCACTGAAACACATGGCATTGTGTTACCGTGCGTTCTGGTGTGGGGGCGATCGAACTGGATGGCAATGCAACACATCTCCCACACCAGAATGCACAATAGGTGCGATTGTGTGGTAAGGTGCGTCAATGGGTTTTTGGTGTCAGGTGGGTTTTGCATTCGTGTACAAGTCTAAGAAAATGCAAAACTTGCTTGAAGCAGGTCAAATGCAGGTCAGAAGGCGGCCCACTGCAGGTCAAATCCAAGCCAGAAAGAGGTCAATGGCAGGTCAGAAGCAGGTCCACTGCAAGTCAAATGCAGGTCAGAAGGAAGCCCATTTCTGGTCAAATGCAGGTCAAAAGGAGGTCTGCTGCAGGTCAGAAGGAGGCTCACTGCAGGTCAAATGGAGGTCTGCTGCTGGTCAAATGCAGGTCAGAAGGAGGCTCACTGCTGGTCAAATGCAGGTCAGAAGGAGGTGTGCTGCAGGTCAGATGCACCTGTCATTGATTTCTGACCGATCGCAGAAGCGCCTGAAACTGATGCCATTGAAAAAGTCCCTAAAAATGTAACTTTTACTTTTGCTGGACAGCTTGGCACTCATGCAAATATGGAGAAAAATATAAATGAAGACATTTGAAATAAAAAGATGACAGTTTGGTCTGCACCTTGGGGAAACTATAAATGAAGACCAATATATTGATTACTTGTATTGCAGGTATTAACCACAATTTCCAAACTAAAATGTTTTTGCTCTAATGATCCTTTAAATATTCACTTCCAAAACTTCCTAAAGGTCCACTGCAAGTCAAATGCAGGTCAGAAGGAAGCCCATTTCTGGTCAAATGCAGGTCAAAAGGAGGTCTGCTGCAGGTCAGAAGGAGGCTCACTGCAGGTCAAATGGAGGTCTGCTGCTGGTCAAATGCAGGTCAGAAGGAGGCTTACTGCAGGTCAGAGGGAGGTCAGAAGGAGGCTCACTGCTGGTCAAATGCAGGTCAGAAGGAGGCTTACTGCAGGTCAGAGGGAGGTCAGAAGGAGGCTCACTGCTGGTCAAATGCAGGTCAGAAGGAGGTGTGCTGCAGGTCAGATGCACCTGTCATTGATTTCTGACCGATCGCAGAAGCGCCTGAAACTGATGCCATTGAAAAAGTCCCTAAAAATGTAACTTTTACTTTTGCTGGACAGCTTGGCACTCATGCAAATATGGAGAAAAATATAAATGAAGACATTTGAAATAAAAAGATGACAGTTTGGTCTGCACCTTGGGGAAACTATAAATGAAGACCAATATATTGATTACTTGTATTGCAGGTATTAACCACAATTTCCAAACTAAAATGTTTTTGCTCTAATGATCCTTTAAATATTCACTTCCAAAACTTCCTATAATTTACAATGATATCCTGAACACAGAAGGACAGTTTGAGTTTATCAAGCCCTATATGCTAAAATCTTCGGCACTGGAAGAACCAAGTACCGTCGTGTCTACCTCCCTCTACCTCCCTTACCCAATTCAAAGGGGCTCCGCAGCAAAGCCTGTGGATTACACTGAGAGAGCCTCTGCATGGCTGGGTTATCAGCTTGATAGAGAGATCAGCTCTGCATGCCAATGGTGGCTATCATCGCTCCCTGGCTGGTGTAATCTGCTAGGCTCAGTCAGGCCCGGATTCCCCACAAGGCCACGAGGCCTAAATGCAAGAAGGACTAAATGTAGAATGAGGGAAGCCGATTGCACGTTTACATGCAGGGATCTCAAGTCTCCCT